TGTAATTCTTTTGATATTCAGGCTACCTCTTTGTAGGACCTACTTTGTTCACTTCCCTCTGAGGTGTGATCCAATATGCCTGAAGTTAGAGTCTCAAGACAATGAATGGCATCAGGTTCAACATAAGGAAACTAGTAGTCCTCCCCTTTTTATTTATTTCTCTTATATTTTTTTTCTTTATTAAGGTATTACATATATGTCCTTATCCCCCCATTGCTCCCCCCCAAGTCCCCTACTCATGCCCTCACCCTCCTGGTGTCTGTGTCCATTGGTTAGACTTATATGCATGCATACAAGTCCTTGGGTTGGTCTCTCCCCCAAACCCCCACCCTTCTGCAGGAATGGTGGGAGCATGGCAGAAAGTGTAAAATGGTGTGATGGAAGGACAATAAATAGAGGCAGTGTGGCAGTAATGTTCTCTTTCATCACTCACCACAGGTGTGAAAGGAGGGGTCAGGGCATCCGTTCTGTGAGAAGACATCATTACTCCCAGGAAGAAGGCAATCAGATTTCATATACTGACCCAATTAAAATATAGTAACTACCACATACTGAGGTTTTTCACAATGCAAATCACTACTCTATTTGATTAACAAATAAACTATAAACCTTACAACAAAACTCAAATTCAGAGAAGAAAGCAAATGGTATGGCAGAAACATATGCTCTTTGGATTTCAGTTACGTTATTTATTCATTCTATGTTTATAGGCCACATGAGCTTTAATTTGCTCCTCTCTTCCACAGGTAAGAATATATTAATATATTAATTTAAAGAAATTAATATAGCAGTATTGAATTGACAAGGTAGTAGTGAAGATTGAATTAGACTATTTAAATGTATATGTTATTCAATAAATGGTAGCTTTTATTATCCAATTTCACTAAGCAATTAAAATCCAGGTTTATCATACTTAAAATCACAGCATTTCTAATATACCTTGACTATCAATTAAATATTGTTAAAATAAAATAATTTATGCCATTATAATATGTAATTAATTTGTTAATGTCAAATATTTATGGAAAGTCTAATATCTTAATGGCTATTTTAGATCATATAGAAATTAAATTTATTGTAAATTACCTCTGCAAATTTGGTCATGGATGTTATAAGTCTATAAAATATTAATTCACATAAGTAATATATTACCTTAGTATGCACACAAAAAAAGTTAAATTATAAGTTTCTTAGAACCAAAAGTTTTGCATGATCATGTTCATTTGAAATATATTAATCATAAATTCTTGATTTAAATTAATAACCTTGCTAAGATATAAAGAATACTTTAAACAAATCTATTTTATTTTAATCGATGTGCATAGCAACATGCTAGGTACTAGGAATTCATCAATGACTGAGTGGAAGTAGGTATCAGTATAAAGAACTGAAAACTCAATGAAGGAGACAGATTATTAGGCAAGTAGCACCACCTATTTATTATAAAAAAAGATAGTCTAGAGAACTATAAAAACATATAGCAGAGCCATTTAACAGAGAATAAGGATGAGCTTGGACAATGAAATGGATTTATCTGGGAAAGTTTCCAAGGAGGGGAATTCCAGAAGAAAATGTCTAGCTAAAGACTTTGAGATGAATGTGACAACGGACTTTTTTGAAGAATTAAGATAAGTTGTACAGAGACAAAAAAAAATTATGATAAAATATAAGCTCTTGATTTACATAGATGGTATATCCACAGGGGCAGGCATTGTTAGTAAAGGAGCTCGCATTTTATTTGAGGACATTGGAGAACTTATTGAAGGTTTTATGTGGGAGATTAACAAGAGAAAATTTTATTTTAATGACGTCAGTTTATTTGAAGTGTGAGGAATGCACATACTAGTGGGTACAATTGAGAGAGTGGAGAAGGTAGAAAAGGCAGTAGCACTAATCTAGTGAAACAATAATGATGGCCTGATGAAAAAGGTGCCAGTAGAAATATAATAACATTGATAGAGTTGAGAAATATTTAAACCAGGGTTGGGCAAACTTTTTGACTTGAGGGCCACAATGGGTTCTTAAACTGGACCGGAGGGCCGGAACAAAAGCATGGATGGAGGGTTGTGTGAACTAATATAAATTCAAAGTAAACATCATTACATAAAAGGGTACGGTCTTTTTTTTTTTTTTTTTTTTTTAAGTTTTATTCATTTCAAACGGGCCAGATCCGGTCTGCGGGCCGTAGTTTGCCCATGGCTGATTTAAACAGTAGAATTGCAAGGTCTTAAAGGCTGTTGACCTAAGTAGAGAGAAAGAAACTCAGGAGGAGTAGGTGCATAATCAAGATGGCAAAGGAAAGGGGATGTCAGAATCACATAAGTACATATTGAATGTGAAGTCCATCTGAACGCTTTTGTTGTAGAAGTATTCAGACATCAATGGTATGTAAAAATATGAGCATAGAGGAGATGCTGGGCTGGAAATCTAAACATGATCATACTAATCATATATTTTTATATTTCAATACATATTTACAATTTTGGAAGATTGTTTTAAAATGTGAAAGACTTGATCTTATTTAAACATGAGGAAAGAACAAACATGGAAGACAATAAAGCAGTATGGAAGAAAATAAGTGTCAATGTATATAGTGCAGAGTAGGAGAAAAGAAATTAAGATTATTGTAGATTATTGAGGTTGTGACTTTGGTGGCAGGAAGTTGAGGAATTTACCTTATGGGATTATCTATTTTCTCTATGAAATAAGAGATGATTAGTGGAGATGGTGAGTTTGGAGGAAAGGATTGGACAAGATTTGAAATAAACAGTGAGAAAAATATGAGAGAATGTTAATTAAGACAAAAGAGAAGGATCAATAGGCAATACTGAAATATGTTTGTGGCTGTTAGAAAAACATTTAGAGTAGTATCAGCCTGCACAGGTGCATTATTTTCCCAGTAGCCTAGTTGAAAGGTATATAATAAAAATAAGTAATAAATGGGCTTAAACAAATGGAGTTACCAATTTATTTCCACATGGAAATGCTAAGAAAATAATGCCATTTGCATTGAAGAAGAATTAAGTCTGTGTGACACTTTTAGACTAGCTGCAGATGTGAGCGCGCAATATTGCATGGCTACTTCCCTGCTTCTCAGAATTCTCTGGGTCCCTAATAACTGTGCATTCATATTTTCCAAGAGGAAGTGACTTGATGTATTATGTTTCTATCTCAAGAAAATTTAAATAAATAGAAATAGAACCAAAACATAAAAACCCAGAAAACTTGTATGAAGTCAGTTTACTTCCATATATGCTGAATACAAAATGCATTGAATTTTATTAGAACAAGATTGATATAAGCATCATTTGATGCCTTTGAATAAGGAGCTGTAATTTGGACTCAAAAGATAAATATGATGATATGTAACTCAGTTCTTCTTCATTTATAAGGACACTAGAGGCCAGGTGCACAGCTTCGTGCACTGGTGAGGGCGTGGCCTGCGATGACTGGCCTGCTGTAGGAGCACTACTCTTCTGCTTTGAGAGTCTGCCCCTTGTGGTCAGTGTGCATCATAGCGACTGGTCAACTGGTTGTTCTGCCGCTCGGTCGCTGAGCTTTTATATGTATAGATGGTTCTACATCCCACAGAGTTTAAGTTGTATTTTTATTTCCATTTAGCTCAAAATATTTTTTAAATTTTTCTTGAGACTTCATTGACCAACATGTTATTCAATAGTGAATTGCCCTGGCTGATGTGCCTCAGTTGGATGAGTACCATTCCATGCACCAAGAGGTTGCAGGTTCAATCTTCTGTTGAGACACATGCCCAGGTTAAGGGCTCGATCACCGATAGGGTGCATGCAGGAGGCAACCAATGGATGTTTCTCTCTCTCTCCCTCTCCCTTCTTCTCTCTCTAAAAATCAATTAATACATATTTTCAAATGGTTAATTGTTAAATTTCCAACATAAGACAGAAAATAAGGCTTTCACTTAATAGATGTAAAAAATACAATGTAGAATGACTATCTTATCAAGCTTTCATCAAATGTATCCCATCCCATCTGCAGTACCTAAACATAGAAATTCTGGAGTAAAACAAAAGCCTGGTTACAATTTTTGGTTACCTTACTACCTCCACTACATTAGAGAAATTAGCACAGTATCCTCATCTGTAAAATCAAGGTAATGATTGTTTTTATTTCATAGACTGTGAGAATTAAATGAAACAAATCATAAAGCTATTTTGATACCTTGGTTCTTTCAAATAGAAAGTTAGTACATTTTTTTAAAATAGTTTATGTATATGTGGAGAAGTCCAATAACTATATTTCTTTAAAAATACTTTGATGATATTTCTTAGACTAATTTATATATTCAAACATATATTAAAGATCACATAAAATATTAAGATCACATAAAA